TGACCTAGTCACACCTTATAAGGTGTGACGAGCCTTGGCCTTTTCTGTTGCTGTCTCCAGTGGAGAGCAGCAGTAACCACTATCTCTAAAAGGCTTATTTATTATTACTATTTTATTTTTAGTTTTTAAATGCAAATCAAATCTGAATTTGTTGTGGATTGTTTTAGAACTACTGTCCGTCTTCGGTCTAAAAGCCCCACGCTGAACTCATGCCCATTGCCTCGGATCTTGAAAGGATTGATATGTTTTGCAACAGATACATTGCAGAAGCAGATGATGAAGTGCAATAAATTATGTTGCATTATTTATTTATTAAATGTGGAGCAAATAACATTAAATATCTTTGTAAATCGATACACAGCATGTTACGATAATCAAAAACCTTAGTCTCTCTCAGAAGTTGTTGTATGTGTGTTACTTACGCTTGATGTAGAGACGGAAGGTGCCCTCCTTCACAACAGCCAAGCCCATCATTAGCTCATCATCAGAGGAGAAAGCAATCAAGTCACCATCCTCATCTAGAGACAAAGCCCAGGAAAAGCCATGGTTATTACTGTCCATATTAGATTTTGGCTCATTTATTGTATGTATACTCTGCTGTTGTCCTTCCCTGGATGTTATTTCATGGTAATTTAATAGCATTATAATACTCACATAGCTTTGCATTGGGGTGTATCAATAAGCAATAAATCAATAAGTTATTTCACAGTATATTATTTCGTGTACCATTTGACTTTAAAGAGGTTTATTTTCCTAAAGCTGCCCAAGCTGTGTCTAATGTCACTCATTTCATTTTCTTCAGATAGTTAAATAAAACAACTTTGTAATATTAATAATGAGAAACGACAATTATTGTATGTTTGCATGTACAATAGACTACATTCATTAAAAAAATAAAAATTGCAGAATTAAAAACTGTCTTACCTTTGTAGTACATTTGAAAGGGCACAGTCCTGAGACCGAGAAAAACATCGAGCACTTTCAGCTTCAAATACTCAAAACTTGTCGAGACATCCTGATCCACGCCAAAGCGGCGGATCTCCTTGTGGCAGTCGTCCTTACCGATAACATACGCTTTCACTGTCATCGACATTGTGGCGAGAAATAGCGTGTAAAAGCGAGCCTCTGGGTTGTGTTGCGCAGCAGAAAACAGGTTTCTTGAACACGGGACTTCCGTATTTATGCCTGAGCGTCATATGCAAATGAAGCGGCGGATCAGCCAATCGTTGAGGCGAGCTGCAGCAACAGAGTCCAGGTTGAGTTGACTCTGATCACGTGAGTCACATTTGGAAACAACAGAATGGATTGAGAGCATCTGAGCAGTGATATGGCAATATGTGCGGGCAAATCATCATCTTTAAGGCCCAAACGACCACAATAAACGTGTAATAATATTGTGATATGTCACTGTAATTCCTCACTTTTTACAAGTGGTAGCTACATTTCTTGTGTGTTGATTTTGAGACAGGGAATGTCACAAAACTCTCTCTTGCTTCTGCTATAGAACAATATTGAAGATTTTTCCACATATATCCATGTACTTGAATATGTATATACTTAATCTGATGGATTTGTTTAGCTACAGCTGAGTCAGTGACTAAGCATGCAATCTGGATCCCCATTACACAAGCTGGTGAGTCTGATATGGTTGGTAGGAGGGTGTTGTAATTCTGCTACAGGTGCTAGCTAATACACTGCTGTGTCATCATGAACGAGGGTTAGCATGGCTCCCTGACGTACTATGAACAAACTTTAAGCTTAAGAATTCATGAAGGATTCTCCGTCATCATTTCGAATCCATATAAAAACTTAAGAAATATATTTTGTATATTTGTGTATAGCCTATAACGCCATACTAGACATGTCTGTGGACTTGCCATGAATTAAAAAAAAAAAAAAGTTAATAACTGACAATGGTATTCATGTATGAATTAACATTTGTTTATAATTATACTTATACTATTTATAATGATAATATTTTACTAATACTACTAGTAATAATAATAAGTATTATTCTTTTAATAAATAATATGGTTGGTAGGAGGGTGTTGTAATTCTGCTACAGGTGCTAGCTAATACACTGCTGTGTCATCATGAACGAGGGTTAGCATGGCTCCCTGACGTACTATGAACAAACTTTAAGCTTAAGAATTCATGAAGGATTCTCCGTCATCATTTCGAATCCATATAAAAACTTAAGAAATATATTTTGTATATTTGTGTTTAGCCTATAACGCCATACTAGACATGTCTGTGGACTTGCCATGAATTAAAAAAAAAAAAAAGTTAATAACTGGTTATTAAGGAAACTACAGGCCTATATTTAGCTTACTGAACAATTGTTAAGCTAAAGAATGCATGTCCATCATGATTTCAAAAATCATGCGAATCAACTTACTCATATATTTTGTGTGTATTTTATATATATATATATAT